CTCCTCCAGCCCCTACACCCCCTCCCTATCTCTGTCACCTTCTCCAGGTCCCTACACCCCGTCCCTATCTCTGTCACCCCCTCCCTATCTCTGTCACCTCCTCCAGCCCCTCCACCCCCTCCCTATCTCTGTCACCTTCTCCAGTACCTAGACCCTTCTCTACCTCTGACAGCAGTGAAAGGATTGCACAGTTTTGGCCCCCTTAGTTGAAATGGGATGCAGTTGTATTGGAGGCAGTTCAGAGGAGATTAACTCGATTGATTGCAGAGATGAGGGGTTTGTCTTGTGGGGAGAGATTGGCCAGTTTACTGGCTGGAGTTCAGAAGAACGAGAGAGAATCTGATTGTGGTCTATAAGTTGCTAAAAGGGATTGACAAAGTAGATGTGGAGAGGATGTTTCCCCGTGTGGGGCAATCTAGAATGAGAGGTCACGGTTTTAGGGTAAGGGGCAATAGATTAAAGAAAGAGATGGGGAGGAATTACTTCTCTCAAAGGGTCACGAATCTATGGAATTCAATCCCTCAGAGTGCAGTGGATAAGTCTGAGGAGGCGATTGCTAATTAGAAACACATTGAAGGGTCAAGGGGAGTGGGCAGGAGAGTGGAGTTGAGGCCAAGATGAGATCAGCCATGATTGTATTGAATGGCAGTACAGGCTCAAGGGGGTGAACGGCCTCCTCCTGCTCTGAGATTTAATGTTCACCCTTAATACCTGAGGGGCAGCAGCAAGTCTGGCAGACTGACCGTCTGGGATCCCAACATGGCATCATTTGGGAACATCTGGTCAGGAAAAGCATCTGTGTAAACGTTAGAATTGTTGTTGGAACAGATACACTGTCCTGGGAATGAACCTCCATTTTCTCTTGTAAAAACAAAAGTCGGTGGGCATTGGGAATCGGAAATAAAAACAGAAAGTTGATGGGGAAACTCAGCAGGTCTGTGAATGGGAACTTGCAGGGGTTGGTGTTCCCATGTATCTGCTGCCCTTGTTCGTGGGTTTGGAAGGTGCTGTTCAAGGGTCTTCGGTGAATTCCTGCAGCGCATCTTGTAGACGGTACACACTGCTGCTACTGAGCGTCGGTGGGTGGAGGGAGTGGATGCTTGTCGATGTGGTGCCAATCAAGCGGGGGCTGTTCTATCCTGGATGGTGTTGAGCTTCTTGAGTGTTGTCAGAGCTGCACCCATCCAGGGCAAGTGGAGAGTATTCCCTCACCCTCCTGCCTCGTGCCTTGTAGATGGTGGATGGGCTTTGGGGAGTCAAGACGATGAGTTACTCACTGCAGGATTCCCAGCCTCTGACCTGTTCTTGTAGCCACTGTGTTTATGTGGCGAGTACAGTTGAGTTTGTCACAATACGGTGGCTTTAAGAGGTGTATTTTGTCCTTGGTTTCTCTTAAGAGAGTGATTGAATGAGAAGTGTAGGACAGTCTGTGGTAAAATAAACAGGGGCTTTGAGGGGTTTTTTTAGAAGTTAGAACAATAGAAGCATCTGGATGGGTGTCACCACCTCCCACAGAACCAGCATTTCTAATTTTTTTTAAGCTTTTACATTTAGCACAAGCTTCTGGAGCCTTGAGGAAGTAGAAGCTTTTATTTTCCCCCTTCTCGGTTACAGCTAGAAGCTGGGGGCTCTCTTCCTTACTGCGGGTGTTGCGCGTGAGAAAATCTGATTTCTGAATTTGCCCTTTTTGCCAAGGGGTGTGTTTATGGGATATGACCATATTGGAACAGTTAATTAGTAATGTTAGTAATTAGTTACTGTATCTCTTAGTCTTAAACTTCCAATAGAGTTAAGTTATTCTATTATCTTCTTTCATTTTGTTGTATTTTAACTATGGTATTTAAATAAACTGTGTTTTGCTTAACATCGTTAAATTTGACCAGTCACATTGTATGTATCTGGAGCGCAACACTTTATATTTGCCTCTAAAATAAGAAAAACTTTGGGGCTAGACTGCCCTCTTAATATATTTTGAGGAACCCTGGTCTGATCCATAACAAATTTCCAGTCAATGATATTGTTGATTCAGTGATGGTAACGCCATTGAATGTTAAGGGACAGTGGTTAGATTGTCTCCTACTGGAGCTGGTCATTGCCTGGCATTTGTGTGGCATGAATCTCACTTGTCACTTGTTAGCCCAAGCCGGGATATTGTCCAGATTGTGTTTACAATAAAACAGATTATTTTTAATTCGTAAAAGAAGCCTGCTGTGTGATACTTTTATGGTGGACAGCAGAGAAAGAATTAGCCATTTTTGTAATTCAACCTGAAATCAAAAAGTTGCTGGAGATCACAGCGGGTCAGGCGGCATCCATGGAGAGAGAGCAAGCTAACGTTTCAAGTCTAGATGACTCTTCATCAGAGCGAGTAGTTCAAGCAACACAGTTACATTAACAGCGTAACGAGTGGAGTGGTGGGACTCAACCCTCCAGTTCAGTTTCTAGTCAATGGTAATCCCCCAGGATGTTGATAAGGCGGGAGAGGGCGGGGATTCAGTGATGGTAATGCCATTGGGCGGCAATAGTTTGATTGCTGGAGATGGGCATTGCCTGGCATTTATATGGCGCTGATCTTACTTTCGATAAAGCAGCCCTCTCTGTCTCTCTCTCTCTGTTTTCAGCATGGCGATCAACCACTTCCAAACCCAAGGTCAAAGCCAGCACCATTTTACCAGAGCAACCACCTCCTTCCGCAACCACACTCACTGCCAATCGAAGAAAGTTGGCCTGGATTCTAGGGATTGCGGTTGCCGCGGTGATTGTGCTCCTCGTTTCCATGGCGATAGCAGCGGCTGTATACGTCCGCAAGAAGAAACATCTGCAGCGAGGTAAGGAACCCTTCCCCCGGCCCTCGCCACAGGCCGTTTATTTCTTCCTTCGTGAGAACCAGCCATCGCTTATGAGGTTCCTACGTGCCAATGACCTCCTGATTGCCCGTGAGAAAGTGGCATTTTCCTCGCGTCTCCGCAGAACCTCCCAGTCCCTTTAACTTGGAATCATAGAGTCATCCAGCACAGAAACAGACCCTTCGGCCCAACCAGTCCATGCTGACCGTAATCCCAAACTAAACTAGTCCCACCTGCCTGCTCTTGGCCCATATTCTTCCAAACCTCTCCTATTCATGTACCTATCTAAATGTCTTTTGCACATTGTAACTGTACCCACATCCACCCCTTCCTCAGGAAGTTCATTCCAGACACGAACCACTCTCTGCGTAAAGATGAGATAACAAGGTGTAGAGCTGGATGAACACAGCAGGCCAAGCAGCATCATAGGAGCAGGAAGGCTGACGTTTCGGGCCGAGACCCTTCATCAACGTCTAGGCACGAAACATCAGCCTTCCTGCTCCTATGATGCTGCTTGGCCTGCTGTGTTCATCCAGCTCTACACCTTGTTATCTCAGATTCTCCAGCATCTGCAGTTCCTACTATCCCTGTGTAAAGAAGGTGCCCCTTCATGTCTTTTTTAAATCTTTCTCCTCTCATCTTAAAAATGTTCCCCCTGTGTCTTGAAATACCCCACTCGAGGGAAAAGACACCTCCCATTCACCTTGTCTATATCTCTCACTATTGTATAAATCTCTATACTCCTAACCTCCAGTGAAAAAAGTCCCAGCCTCTCCTTATAACTCAAACCCCACATTCCCAGCAACATCCTGGTAAATCTCTTCTGAACCCACTCCAGCTTAATTATATCCTTCCTATAACAGGGAGACCAGAATTGGACGCAATACTCCAGAAGATGCCTCACCAATGTCCTGTACCATCTCAAAATAATGTCCCGACTGTTGTACTCAAACATCTGAACAATGAAGGCAAGCGTGCTGAATGCCTTCTTAATCACCCTGTCTACATGTGATGCAAACTTCAAGGAAATATTAACTTGAATCCCGAGGTCCGTCTGTTCTACAACACAACCCAACGTCCTACTTTTAATTGTATAAGTCCTGCCCTTGTTTGTTTTGCCAACATGTAATATCTCGCAGTTATCTAAATTAACTTATCTAATTGTCATGTTGCAGCCGTACAGGATAATGGTTAGACCATACTGTGTGCAATTCTGGTCTCCCTGCTGTGGGAAAGATGTTGTGAAACTTAAAAGACTTCAGAAAAGATTTAAAAAGGTGTAGCCTGTGTGGGAGTGTTTGAGCTGTAGAGAGAGGCTGAATAGGCTGAGACTATTCTCCCTGGAGCATCAGAGGCTAAGGGGTGACCTTATAAACGGTTTATGGGGGGCATGGATAGGGTATATAGACAAGGTCTTTTCCCTGGGGTGGAGGAGTCTAAAACTAGAAGGCATAAGTTTAAGGTGATAGGGGAAAGATTTAAAAGGAGCCTAAAAGGGACAACCTTTACATGCAGAAGGTAATCCATGTATGAAGTGAGCTGCCAGGGGCATTGGTGGAGTTCGGTACAATGACATTTAAAAGGCATCTGGATGGGTACATGAATAGGAAGGGTTTAGAGGGATATGGGCCATATGCTGGCAAATGGGACTAGATTAATTTAGGATATCTGGTCAGCATGGACAAGTTGGACCGAAGGGTCTGTGTCCATGCTGTACATTTCTATGACTATGACTAAATTAAACTCCATTAGCCACTCCTCAGCCCATTGACCCAATTGATCAAGACGTGTGCACAGATCATCCCCTTTCTCAGAGGGCAGCTAAGACTCAACTTCCATTGCCATGGGTCTGGAGTCACGAGTTCTGCCTACACCAGGCAATGAGGGTGGGGGCCCCTAACCCCTCCCCCCCCCCCCCGAGAGTGGGGCTTTTCTTTTTTAACCTCAGATTAATCTGTTGAGATTGTGGAACCCTTGGTGATCCAGCCAGGTTTGGGTCCTAGAGGCTCTGGCTTCACTGTGATTGGTTGACCGCACTGGATTCCCCCATCCCACCCCAGCCCCAGATGGCGTCAGTCAACCAGCCAGGGCACCATTGCCAAGCCCGTCCCTCCAGATCAACAGTGCCCATGTAGCCACTCCTGGCACCAGTAATTGGAGGATCCTCTACCTCCATGAGTTAAAGGATGACAACTCTCACCATCATTGCCCACTGCCTACTCAATGGATGGCAGGGCACCAGGAAGGTCAGAGAAACAGAGGGATCTTGGGGAGCTGGTCCACAGATTCCTGAGGGTGGCACAACAGGTTTGATTTGATACATTATTGTCACATGTACCTAGTTACAGTGAAAAGTTTTGTTTTGCATGTAATACAGGCAGATCATACCACAGGGTGTTAGAACAGAGCAAGGAATGCAATGTTATGATTGCAGAGGAGGTGTACAGAGAGCGAGACCAATAAACTATGAGATGTCCGTTCAGAAGTCTGATGAGAGTGGGGGAGGAGCTGTTCTTGAACCAGTTAGCACATGTGTTTAAGCTTTTGTATCTTCTGCCTGATGGAGGAGATTGGAAGAGATTATAACCAGGGTGGGAGGGTTCTTTGATGATGTTAGCTGCCTTTCCAAGGCAACAGGAAGTGTAGATGGAGTCAATGGATGGAAGGTTAGCTTGTGTGATGGACTGGGCTGTGTTTACAACTCTCAGTAGTTCCTTACAATCATGGAAACAGGATTGTATGTTTTTAAGAATGTGTTGGAGATAGCACTTGGGGCTAAAGGGATCACAGGGTATGGGGGAGAGAAAGCAGGAACAGAGGGCTGACTTGGGTGATCAGCCATGAATGGCTGGAGCAGGAGTAGGCCAATCAGCCCTTCGATCCTGAGTTTCTACAAGAATGACTCCAGGAGTGTTACAGAAATTTCAGAACACTCAAGGCCATGGGCCTAGTGTGGGAAAGTGGAACTAGAGTCGATTTAATGTGCAGATTGATGGGCCAAAAGGCCTGTTCTGTCTTGTACGATTCTAGAATTCTAGTGGCACCTCATGCGCAGCGTCTTCCAGCACAGGAGGAGACCATTGGGCCCATCATGCTAGTACAGGTTACCCAACTGATCCTTCCCCCTTTTCCCCTTCCATATCTCCCACACACCAATATCTATCCCATTCCCTTTGGAAAGTCGCCAAGGGTGACACACTCCACATCATGGGCATCTTCTGAGCCCCGAATTCTCCTCAGAAAGAGAAAAAAGTGACTCGGGACAGTGCAAGAGGGAGATGTCAAGGAACAAGACTTCCTGAAAAGGGGAGTAGGGACCTGGAAACCCGCTTCCTACCACGCTCCGCCAAATCCTCCTGACAAAACCGCGGTCAGTCAGGGTTTTTAAGAGTGGGATTGATGTGTTTTTGTTGTGGAGAAAGCAAGGGCTGTTGGTATGCTTTAGTGGGGCTGAATGGCCTTCTCCTGTTCTGATAACCTGACCCCAGAACATGTCAGTCACAGGCCGGAAACTGTGGTTGGTCTGAAACTGAGCGAAACTCTTAAAACAGATTGGGTGGCATCTTGGACAATGGTTGGATGTTGGGAGCGTGCCAGAAACACGCATTTTAGAGAGAAAGTGAAGAGCAATTTTGTCGGGAAATGTCTTTAGCAGCACGCAATCGATTCTCCCACTGCCCCCCCGCAATACCCCTTTCTGTGCTGCCTGCCTAAGTCGAATAGCAGTGTACCCTTTCCACAGGGAGAGAGTGGAGGAAGAGGCACACCGGAAAAGTCACAGGGAGTGAGATCGACGCAGAAAGGGAACAGGAACGAAAGAATTTAGTTTCCCTATTCTTGATTCTGTGTGTCACAACTCTACCTCTCAGTCAGGGTCATAGGGTCATAGAGACATAAGGTCATAGGATCATAGAGACAAAGAACCATACAGACAGAGAGAAATTGTGACATAGACTCGTAGAGTCATAGAGTCGGAGATACATAGAGTCATAGAGACATAGAGACCTACAGTCATAGCGACATAGAGTCACGGCGATATTGAGTCATTAAGTCATTGAGTCATTTAATCATGCATCTCCGAGTCATCGAGACATTCAGACATAGGCTCATATAGAGACATAGAGTCCAAAAATGAGCAGGTTAGATAGACTGGCCATGCTAAATTGCCTGTAGTGTCCAGGGATGTTTAGGTTAGGTGGGTTAGACATGGGAAATGCATGAGTCTGGGTGGGCTGCTCTTCGGAGGGGCGGTGTGGACTTGTTGGGCCGAATGGCCTGTTTCCACTCTGTTGGGATTCTGTGATTCTATGATCCTATGACATAGAGACCGAGAGACATAGGGGCAAAGAGTTATTGAGTCAAAGAATCATAGAGTCATAGAGAGAAACTGTCATAGAGTCGCAGAGTCTTAGAGACACAGAGCTGTACAGCATGGAAACAGACCCTTCAGTCCAACTCGTCCACACCAACCAGGTATTCTACATTAATCCAGTCCCATTTGCCAGCATTTTGCCCATATCCCTCTAAACCCCTGCTATTCGTGTACCCATCCAGATGCCTTTCAAATGTTGTAATTGTACTGGCCTCCACCAATTCCTCTGGCAGCTCATTCCATACACACACCACCTCCTGAGAGAAGAGGTTGCCCTCTAGGTCCTTTTTAAATCTTTCCCCTCTCACCTTAAACCTATGCCTTCTAGTTTTGGACTCCCCTACGCTGGGAAAAAGACCTTGTCTATTCCCTCTACCCATGCCCTTCATGATTTTATAAACCTCTACAAGGTCACCCACTCAGCCTCCGACGCTCCAGGGAAAATAGCCCCAGCCTATTCAGCATCTCCCTGTAGCTCAAACCCTCCAACCCCGGCAACATCCTCGTGAATCTTTTCTGAGCCCTTTCAAGTGTCACTGCATCTTTCTTATGGCACAAAAATCGTAGTTGAATGCAGTATTCCAAAAGTGGCCTCACCAATGTGCTGTACGGCCGCAACATGACCTCCCAACTCCGATACTCAATGTACTGACAAATGAAGGCAAGTGTACCAAACACCTTCTTTACTACCCTTGTCCACCAGAGGGTCAACAACACGAGTCCAAGTTTCAGATGTTGCTGTGTCACCCCCATACTGAGGCACCCAAAGGTTAACCACCTCTGTGGGAAACCAAAATGGCGGGCAGGACAATTTGGCCAAGGTAAGGATGGCAACATGTAGCTGTCCCATTGGCATCCACCCAACAATATGGAAAGTTCAAGCAATAACAGAACTTGCTGAGAAAAGTTGTCAGAATCTTGCAGCTTCTGGAGAGAGAGAACAGCAGAGTTAATCTTTCGAGTCCAGTGATCCTTCCCCAGCCATGTCCTGTACATTTAAAGCAGGACAAATCTAACCCAGCCAATTACCGTCCCATCAGTCTCCTCTCGATCATCAGGAAAGTGATGGAAGGTGTCAGTAACAGCGCTATCAAGCAGCACCTACTCAGCAATAACCTGCTCAGTGACGCCCAGTTTGGGTTCCTCCAGGGCCACTCAGCTCCTGACCTCATTACAGCTTTGGTTCAAACATGGACAAAAGAGCTGAATTCCAGAGGTGAGGTGAGAGTGACAGCCCTTGACATCGAGGCTGCATTCGACCGAGTGTGGCATCAAGGAGCCCTAGCAAAACTGGAATCAATGGGTATCAGGGGGAAAACTCTCCATTGATTGGAGTAATACCTGACACACAGGAAGATGGTTGTGGTTGTTGGAGGTCAATCCTTTCGGCTCCAAGACATCTCTGCAGGAGTTCCTCAGGGTAGTGTCCTAGGCCCAACCATCTTCAGCTGCTTCATCAATGACCTTCCCTCCATCATAAGGTCAGAATTGAGGTTGTTCGTCAATGATTGCACAATGTTCAGCACCATTCGTGATTCCTCAGATACTGAAGCAGTCCGTGTCCAAATGCAACAAGACCTGGACAATATCCAGGTTTGGGCTGACAAGTGGCAAGTGACATCTGCGCCACACAAATGCCAGGCCATGACCTTCTCCGATAAGGGACAATCCAACCATTGGCTATTGACTTTCACCGGCATTACCATCACTGAATTCCCCCAAATATCGACATCCTGAGGGTTACCATGGACCAGAAACTGAACTGGACTAGCCATTTAAACACAGTGGCTACAAGATCAGGTCAGAGGTTGGGAATCCTGCAGCAAATAACTCACCTCCTGACTCCCCAAAGCCTGTCCATCATCGACAAGGCATAAGCCAGGAGTGTGAGGGAATACTCCCCACTTGCCCTGGATGGAGGCAGCTCCAACAACACTCAAGAAGCTCAACACCATCCAGAACAAAGCGTCCCGCTTGATTGACCCCACATCCACAAGCATCCACTCCCTCCCCCACCGACGCTCAGTAGCAGCAGTGTGTACCATCATTTCACCAGCAATTCACCAAAGATCCTCAGGCAGCACCTTCCAAACCCATGACTTCTACCATCTAGAAGGACAAGGGCAGCAGATACATGGGAACACCACCCCCTCCCAGTTGCCCTCCCTCCCCTCTTTGTCTTCTCCAAACCCTCAGTGTTGGCACTCCCACCCCCTCTGTTGCTCTTCCCTTCCCCTCTCTGCCCCTCCCTCTCCGTCTCCATTGCTCCCCCTTGATAACGATGCACTGTGTGTTAATGGTATATTAGTGAAAATATTATCGGGCAGCGGGTGCAGACAGGAAGTCACGGCTGGTACGGATCCACTGTGACATCGTTGAAGGGTTGAGGGGCTGAATGACCTATTTCTGTTCAGGATGACCGTGTCGCAGTGTATTCAGGTGTAACCTCACACCTTCTGTGCTCTCTTTCCCTGCAGTGGTCCAGCCCTGGACAACTCCCCAGCGAAGGACGAGGGCCAACTGGGGAGTAAACACCTCGGATTAATTGTTTCGAGAGCTGCGTCGGATGTGCCAACTTGGAGAGGCGTGGACCACATTGGCATCAGCCATTCCATGCCACACATTACCTCCTCTGGCCTAATCTTGGCTCTGGAGTGTTCTGGTCCCCAGGCTGTAGCAAGGAGGTGATTTGCACTGGAGGGGGTACAGAGGAGATTCACAGGATGTCCCCCTGGGGTGCAGCATTCAGGCGATGGAGAGAGGCTGGATAAGCTTGGGCTGTTTTCTTTGGAGCAGGGAACGCTGAGGGTGGACCTGATAGAGGTGTTTAAGATCCTGAGGGATGTGGACAAGGCAGATAGAAAGGAACTGTCGCCTTTAGTCGGAGGGTCAATAATGAGGGGTTTATCATTTGTAAGTGAAAGTGAGGAGGTTTAGAGGGAATTTGAGGAACAGATTTTACACCCAGAGCTTGGTGAGGGGGTCTGGAATGCACTGCCTGTGGGAGGGTAGTTGAGGAAGGAAGCCTCCTTTATAAAGCTCTTGGATGAGCGCATTAAGTGTCATCACATTTAAGGCTAGTGTGGGAAATTGGGATTAGCGCAGGTCGGAGTGTATTTTGGGCTGTCCAGACTCGATGGGCCGTAGGGCCTGTTCTGTACTATATGATTCTATGTGTCACCCTTTACCCTGTTCCCAGACTGACCGTCTCTAACCCTGCGCAGCATGGGAAGGGCAAATGACAACAGGCCATGGGGTCAATAGAGTGAGCAAGCTCTCTCACTGACCCTGCCCAGCCCCTGCATTTTACCCAGTCCCAGGCACGATGCTTCATCTAGTCGACTTGCCATTTGGCTTTGGCCGTTTTTGTTTTTGAAGGGGTTCAAGGGTTGTCGGCAGCAAATGGGAACCCTTCAGACTGTGACGGGACTAGACAGACAGGAAGGGTGTTCCCGGTTTGGACGGGCTAGGGGGGTGCTCACAGGCTAAAGGAGACAGAATAGGACTGAGATGAGAAGGAATTTCATAGAATCCCTACAATGTGGAGACAGGACATAAGGCCCATAGAGTCCACACCGACCCTCCGAACAGCATCCAACCGAAACCCACCACCCCGACCCTGCTCCTGTAACCCTGCATATCCCTGGGCACTATGGGACAATTTAGCACGGTCAATCCACCCTAACCTGCACATCCCTGGGCACGATGGGACAATATAGCACGGCCAATCCACCCTAACCCGCACATCCCTGGGCACTATGGAACAATTTAACACGGCCAGTCCACCCTAACCTGCACATCCCTGGACACTATGGAACAATTTAGCACGGCCAATCCACCCTAACCTACACATCCCTGGGCACTATGGAACAATTTAGCACGGCCAATCCACCCTAACCTGCACATCCCTGGGCACTATGGGACAATTTAGCACAGCCAACCCACCCTAACCTGCACATCCCTGGGCACTATGGAACAATTTAGCACGGCCAATCCACCCTAACCTGCACATCTTTGGACTGTGGGAGGAAATCCACGCAGACACGGAGAGAACGTGCAGACTCCACACAGACAGCCCAAGGGTGGAATCGAACCCGAGTCCCTGGCGCCGTGAGGCAGCAGTGCCAATGACTGAGCCACCCTGCTGCCCCCTATCCCACTGGCAGTGCCAATACCTCCCACGCAGGAGACAATTTATCAATGTGTCTTGGTGCGGCAACCAAGAAATGGCTGGAGATCTCAAGCAGCAACAAGGAGTTGCATTGATGTAGCCCCTTGGGGAAACCCAAGGAAATGTCGCAGGTAGCTTCACCGCAGTGTTGTAGAGCAGAGCAGGATCACTGAGCGCCCAGGGTGGGGAGTCCAGGCCACCAAGGGGTGCAATGCTTAGAATTGGACAGTGGAGTGCTCAAGAGGAGGGTTGGAGTTGGTAGTTGGTGGTGGAGATTGGGGTGGAGGTTGGGGAGGAGGGTAGGGAGGCAATACCAGGGCGGGGAGTCACAAGCAAGGACGAGACTGTGTTCCCTGAACATGCCACCTGCTTTCTATCTTCCAGGTCCTGGTACCCAGTGCCTACCTGACCCGGAGTCCACTGGTGAGGTAAGACCTAGAGGCGGATGTTCCGAGAAATGGGGAATTAGGAAATGCCAACGGAATTAGGGCCCTCAGGAATCTGATGGGATAATGTCGGAATTGGGAGCAGGAGCGGGCCATTCAGCCCCTCGAGCGCGCTCTGCGGTCAATACGAGAGTGGGGCGAAAGGTCAGCTGCAATCTCCGCGAAGTGGCGGGAATGGTGGAGTCTTCCCATGCCCCTTTCTCACATGTTCCCTTTTCGGAGTAATTTTTTTTTCTGCTTTGCCTCATCAAGTTCCGAGGACAACGCCGCCCCCCCCCCCACCCCGCCACCTCGGCCTTCCAGTGAACGGCAGGAGATTGACAACTGACCTCCCGGGCGGAGCTGCGCATAGCAAGATCCCACGGAGGTGTGGAACCCCCACTGGCTCTGACCGGGAGAGGGCCCCTCAGCGACCGGCCTAGCTCACGTCCCAAACGCCCCCCTCCCCCCACCTAGGCAAGATCTTCCCCTGAATCCCACACCCGCACGTCTCCGAATGGTGTTGCCAACACGGGATGAGGCCTACATTTTCGTAGCGCCTTCCGCAACTTCAGGACGACTCAGTCGGGCACGGTCAGCCCATTGTTGCCGCTTTAAATGTTATTTTTTTCAGTGGGGTGGAGGGTTGAATTTGTGCCGCTTCCCTCTCACCAACTTGCACAGCCATGTGCAACTGACGATGTTCGGGAATCTTCTCCTTCCGGGGTAGGCCTGAAAACCCAACTGTTTGGGGCTAGGCCCGAGGATTTGCCCACTGTTGGAGTCTGGGGGAACATGAGTGGGGGCTAGAGGTATCTAGAGGCCTGTGGAGTAAAGCAGGAACAGGGTATCGAGACAGTCAATTGGCCATGATCCTACTGAATGGCAGCGCAGGCTAGAGAGGCCCGAATGGACTATTCTCAGCGTCTTTTGTTTAGCACAACGTCGGGCGGCAACATGTCCCCGTGACGATGACCCAGGTCACTTCGGGAGATGCCATTTTGAGTTGACCTTTCGCCCCTTTTCCAGGGGAGGGGAGGCATGGAGGGGGGTTGAGAGTAGAGGGGAGTGTGGAGGACAACCTCCCTGGTCTCCTTCAGAGCACCAGCCTTGTCCCCACCCCTCCCCATTCCCCCGGGCCCTCCATTTTCAAGGGGAGGGGAGGTGAATGGGGAGAAAAGGGTGGGGGCAGGAGTTGGCCAACATGAACCGATGACTTGCCCCGCCCTGCCACCGTTCCCCCTCCCCCCTGCGGACTGCTACCAGGGGCAGCTTAGTGAAAACTCCCAACAGGATCGCTCCCTCCTGTCTAACCTGCCGCCATGTCCCCTCTTTGCTTCTCCCTGCCAGTTCGTCAACCCGGAAGGGATTGTCTACGCTTCTCTACAGGTCGGAAAAGGAGGAGAAGGCCCGAAGACCGGGAGCAAGGCCCCACGAGGGGACGGGGACGTTCTGTATGCGGCCGTGCGGTTTCAGCCGGGGTCCCCAAAGATTTACCCCCCCCCCCCCCCCCCCCCCACTCCTTTCTCCTTGCCCCACAAGAGCGCCGAGGCCCACAGGTCAGAGAAAGGCCTGGATCCTGCCAGCCTGAAGTAGGCCTCTCTCCATCACTGCTGACCAGGTCCGTTCAACCTCCGTTCGGTGCTCCCCATTTGCACCCCACCCACACCTCGGATGCCTTTATACAAAATGAAGCAGTAAACACGACCGGGCCTCATCCTCCAGCGACCGCATGCCTCCCCCCACCAACCCCCCCCACCTCCGGGGGTCAGAAACCCGGTTCAAATCACTCCATGGCTTCTAGAACAAAGAACAAATGAGAAGTACAGCGCAGGAAGAGGCCCTTTGGCCCTCCAAGCCTGTCCTGGCCCTCATGCCCTAACTAAAACCTTCTGCCCTTATTTGATGCCCTATCCCTCTATTCCCTCCTCATCCACGTAACCAACCAGATGCCTCTTTAATTTCAGAATTTAAAAACTACCCCTTGATGACTGACAAAATGGTGGCCAGGGATGGGGGACTTGTCACCTTTGTTCAATAAAAATACCCTCAGCCCTTCAGAGGGGAGACGCAGTTTCAATCCCCAACACCACCCTACCCCCTACCCCCAAAGTGACTCCAACCCCTCAGCCTGACACTCTCTATCTTTCTCTTCCTCTCTCTTTCTTTCACCAAAATTCGGGGCCGTTAACCCCCCCACCCCCTTGCGTTCGTCAATAAACAGCAAAGCGCCAACGTCAGGTTTTCATTTGTGTAGCGCCCTTTTTTCTTTGCAAACCACTCTCCCCAGGGACTTCACAGTCGGTGAAGTGTTTGTTGCGAAGGGCGGTCGCTTCTCCCTGTGGGGAGCGTGGTAACTGAGCACCATCTATTGGCAACTCCCACGAGCAGCAAATTTATAAATAAGCAGATAACTTAGTGACTGGGCTATAAGTATCGTCACGTGACTGTGCACTGCCTAAAAATATTTGCTGTAATCTCACTTACAAAGACATTTATAGAGTCATACAGCACGGAAGCAGACCCTTCAGCCCAAACCGTCCATTTTTCCTAAAATAAACTATTTTGCCATCTGCCAGAGCTTGACCCCAACATCCTTCCTATAGCTGGGAGACCAGAATTGAAGGCAGTATTCCAATAGTCCTCCAAACCCTTCCTATTCGTGTACCTATCCAGATGTCTTTCAAATGTTGTAACTGTACCAGCCTCCATCACTTCCTCTGGCAGCTCAATCCATACACAGATCACCTTCTGCGTGAAAAAGTTGCCCTTCAGGGCCCTTTTAAATCTTCTCCCCTCTCACCTTAAACTATGCCCTCTAGTTTCGGAACCCACCCGCCCCACCCTGGGAGAAAAGGACCTTAGTTATTTACCCTATCCACGGCCCTCATGATTTCATAAACTTCTATAAGGTCACCCCTCAGCCTCCGACACTCCAGGGGAAGGATGTTGCGAAACTTGAAAGGGTGCAGAAAAGATTTACAAGGCTGTTACAGGGTTGGAAGGTTTGAGCTACAGGGAGAGGCTGAATTGGCTGGGGCTATTTTCCCTAGAACATCGCAGGCTGAAGGGGACCTTGTAGAGATCTATAAAATCATGAGGGGTATGGATAGGGTGAATAGCCAAGGTCTTTTTCCACAGGGTAGGGGAGTCCAAAACTAGAGAGGCATAGGTTTAAGGTGAGAGGGGAAAGATTTAAAAGAGACTTAAGGGCCAACTTTTTCACACAGAGGGTGGTGTATGTACGAAATGAGCTGCAGGGGAAATAGTGGAGGCTGGTACAATTACAACATTTAAGAGGCATCTGGATGGGGACATGAGGAGGAAGGGTGAGGTTGTAGACGTGCTCGCCGAGCCAATGTATTTGGTTGCAAACGTTTCGTCGCCCTGCTAGGTAACATAGTCAGTGCACCTCCGGTGAAGCATTGGTGTTCTGTCCCACTTGTTATTTATATACCTCGGTTTGCTGGGGTATTACTTCCGGTTCTATTTCTCAGTGGTTTGTACACAGGGTCTGATTCAATGTGTTTGTTGATGGAGTTCTGGTTGGAATACCAGGCCTCCAGGAATTCCCTGGCATGCCTCTGTTTGGCTTGTGCAATTATGGATGTGTTGTCCCAGTCAAATTCATGTCCCCCATTGTCCATGTGTAGTGAGACAAGTGAGAATTGGTCGTGTCTCTTGGTGAGTAGCTGGTGTTCGTGTATACGTACAGTCAACTTTCTTCCGGTTTGGCCTATGTATTGTTTCTCAAAGTCTTTGCATGCTATTTTGTATATAACCCCAGTTTTGCTGGTATTGGGTATGGGATCCTTTACGCTCATCAGTAGCTGTCGTAGGGTGGTTGTAGGTTTGTGGGCTACTCTGATACCTAGGGGTCTAAGTAGTCTTGTGGTCATCTCTGAAATGTCCTTGATGTACAGTAGGGTGATATGTGATTCTGGTCATGTTGTGTCTTCCTGTTGTGGTCTGTCTCGGAGGTAACAGCAGTTTGTGATTTTATGGGTATCCATTCCTTTTGAAGACTTCAAAGACACACCACAACAGGAAGACACAAACACGACGAGAACCACTAACCACCCCAGCAAATCGAAATGTATGAGTAACAAACAGAACAGGACACTGACGCTGTTACCCAGCAGGGTGACAAAACGTTTGCAACCGAACCCACCGGCGAGCATGTCTACAACCTCATCCACAACCCAAGCTACAAATCTTTTCGAAAACTTTAAATAGAAAGGGTTTAGAGGGATATGGGACAAATGCTGGCAAATGGGACTTGATTCATTTGTTTATATCTGGTCGGCATGGACGTGTTGGAGTGAAGGGCCTTTTTCTGTGCTGTACCTCTGTGAAAAAAACAACATTAGATGAGAGATAACAAGGTGTAGAACTGGATGAACACAGCAGGCCAAGCAGCATCAGAGGAGCAGGGAAGCTGACGTTACGGGCCGAGACCCTTCTTCAGAAAATTACTATCCCTACTATCCCTGAAACAATTTTAAGCCCGCTGCGAAGCCTCTTCTGAGGACCTCAGATTCTCCAGCATCTGCAGTTCCTACTATCTCTGAAAATTAGATTAGCCTTCCGTTCTCAGAAAATTGAATTTGAGTTACACCTGGGTGGGATTTGAACCCAAATTGCAAAAGACCACCAACACCCAGACTGGTGATGTTACAATTGTGCCACCATGTACCCACTGGGTACAGCTGGGGTATGGAGGCTAGCCCTAGATACAAACAGATAGTGGTGGCAGGATAATGCCCCATTACTAACCCAGACAGCATGGGTTAATAACTTAAGGACATGAGTTCAAATCCCACCACAGGAGTCCCCTCCAAGGCAGAAGTGAAGTCAGACTCCTGAGCCACAGCTTGTCCCGTCCATCCACTATTTTTCTTTTATTCCCCTCTCTTTACGTTTTTTTTTTCTTTCTTTATCTTTTTATCTCCTGTCCTCGAGTGGCATTGTTGATGTCCGGGGTGAAAGCAAGCCTGGACTCCCGGTCTCGGCAGGGGCCCAGACTCCCAGACCCGGACTCCTGGCCTCGGCGCGGGCTCGGAGTCCCGGAGACGGACTCTCGGCCTCGGCACGGACCCGGACTCCCGGCCTTGGCGTGGGCTCGGACTCCCGGACACGGACTCTCGGACATGGACTCCTCGCCTCAGCGCGGACCTGGACTCCCAGCCTCGGCACGGGCTCAGACTCCCGGACCCAGACTCCCGGCCTCGGCGCAGACCTGGACTCCCAGCCTCGGCGCAGGCTCGGACTCCCGGACCCAGACTCTTCGCCTCAGCACGGGCTTGGACTCCCGGCCTCGGCACGTGCTCGGACTCCCAGACACTGACTCCCAGCCTCAGCGCGGACCCAGACTCCCGGCATCGGCGCGGGCCCAGACTCTCGGCTTCGGTGCGGGCCCGGACTCCCGGCCTCGGCGCGGGCTCAGACTCCTGGACATGGACTCCCAGCCTCAGCGCGGACCCGGACTCCCGGCCTCGGCACGGACCCAGACTCCCGGCCTCAGCATGGGCTCGGACTCCCGGACCCAGACTCCCAGCCTCAGCGCGGACCCGGACTCCCGGCCTCAGCACGGACCCGGACTCCCGGCCTCAGCGCGGGCTCGGACTCCCGGCCTCAGCGTGGGCTCGGACTCCAAGAGAAAGAGAAAGCGGGCTGTTGTGGTGCAGTGGTAGCGTCCCTTCCTCCAAAGCAGGAGGCCCAGGTTCCAGCCCAGAGGGAGTATCTCCAACAAGCTGATTGACGAAAATACGTCAGGGGGAGAAAATTGTGGCGTTGCGGGTAGTGCCCACTGCCTCTGGGCCAGGAGGGCTCGAGTTCAAGACCCACCTGGCTCCAGAGGCGCGAGCATCTGACGGCGCAGTCAATTAAAAAAGACAAGACACTCCAGGCGAGATTTTCGACTCCCTCTGGGCTCGGTGATCCTGAGATTGAGTTGGTGCAGTCTTAATCCGCAATGCGCTGCTGTGCCAGCAGGTGGTGGTGTTGGTCTTCCTGAAGGACCTCTTGGCTAAAAATCTCACACTGTCACAGCAGCTAAAATTTGTGTACACAGACTGGCCAGTATTCTCTACATTTGTCCTGAGACGGTTAACTTAAACAGGAACCCCAGTGCATGAACTGCTGCAGGGCTGGCACGCAGGCGAAGCAGATAATTAAGAAATCTCAGAGACTGCAAATGCTGGAAGCCAGAGTCTGTAGGTGTGAGGCTGGAAAAGTACAGCAGGGTCAGGCAGCACCAGAGAGGAGGAAGGTCAACGTTACAGGTCGAAACCAGAGGTTACTGGAAAAGCTCAGCAGATCTGGTAGCATGGAAACAGGCCCTTCAGCCCAAATCGACCCTTGGAGCATCCCACCCCAACCCATCATCCCCTTATAACCCACCTAAGCTACACATCACTGAACACTACAGGCAATTTAGAACAGCCAACCCACCCTAGCCTGCAGGCAGAAACCCACACAGACACAGGGAGAATGTGCAAACTCCACACAGACAGTTGCCCAAGGCTGGAATCGAACCCAAGTCCCTGGTGGTGGGAGGTAGCAGTGCTAACCACTGAGCCACCATGCCATCTAATCTAGTCCTATTTGCCTGTGTTAGACCCATTTCCCTCCAAACATTTCCTATTCATCTAAGATGTCTTTTAAATGTTGTAATTGTACCAGCCTCCACCACTTCCTTTGGCAGCCCATTCCACACAGGCACCACCCTCTGCGTGAAAAAGTTGCCGCTCAGAGCACTTTTAAATCTTTCCCCTCCCACCTTAAACTAAGTCCTCGGGTTTAGGACTCCCCTACCCTGGGGGAAAAGACCTTGACTATTCACCCCATCCATGCCCCTCATGATTTTATAAACCTCTATAAGGTCACCCCTCAGCCTCTGACGTTCCAGGGGAAAAAGTCCCAGCTTTCCCTTACAACTCAAACCCTCCAGTCCCAGTAACATCCTGGTAAATTTTTACTGCATCCTTTCTGAGTTAATAATATCCTTCCCTATTATATGATTGTCTATTTACCGTGAACAGGAATACAGGAATAATTCTCATAACACAAAGATTTACATTAGGACTGTGGAACTGCCTCTCCAATTAGGCTATACTCTGTTAATTCCTTCTCACTTTTCATTGTCAATGGCCCCATCTTGGTATTGATTGCACCGAGGATGGGGATTGGGCAAATCCTACAAGGTGGGGCTAATTCCATTGGCGGCGCCCTCCATCTG